AAAAAAATTATTTACCCGAAAAAACTTGACAGGCCAAAAAAATTTGTCCAAGCCCGAAAATCCTATTTCGGAGAGGGGGGTCCGACTTTGATTAGTCATATATTTTTTTCAGTTATACTACATTACCCCTGGTGGACTATACTTCAACAATAAGTGGGGGTGGGGGCTGTACTTTCAATGAACATTACATTTTCTAAAATAAGGTTATGTCTGGGAAAAGAGGGGGGCTGATATTATGTGTCTATAATTATTCGTCCTACTCAATGCCCCCCCCCCCTCTTACCAGTCATTAAAATACAGTCGTCAACATTCATTATTATACTAGATATACAGCTTTCAGATAATGTAAATGTATTTTCACATCAGGTAATGAACTTTTGGAATCAACATGATAAAGAGTTAAGACAATATAAAGATATTTTTTAAATCACATAAGAGTTGACATAACGTAATTATATATCCACATCACGGAATGGAGTTTTGACATAATGTAATAAAGTGTTGATATAAAATAAAGATATGTTCACATTATGTTATACACTTTTTATACCACGTAATAAAGCACTGACATAAAGGTAAGATGTGTTCTCCTCACATCATGATGCTCTCGCCGTAATATAAAGATAAATCCATATCACGTAATAATGCTTTGACATAATAGACATATACACTCTCAAAAAGGAATGGACTTTTGACTTCATGTAATGATAAGTTTAATTATAAAACACAATTTACTTGACGTGATGCAATTTTGACCTCACATATTAAAGAAATGAAATAATATAAAAGAAACATTCATTTCACGTAATAAAGTTTTAACACAATGTAAACATATTTTCACTTCACATATTAAATGAACTTCCGACTTCAAGTTATAAAGTGCTGACATAATGGAAGAATGTGTTTACTTCATGTAATGCAGCATTGACATGATGTAAAGATATTTTTACATCACCCCATAAAAAATGACATAACGTAAAGATATGTTCACATCACGTTATGATAGATTGACATAATGAATGCATAGTTTTATGCTATAAGGCAGTGATGGCGTTCCATAAAATCTCATATCGGCGGTCTACTGTGACAGCGTCTTTTGCTACTACATTAGGAGTTTGTCCGTATGTTTTGTACTCCCCAGGTACTCGATCAAAAAAAAACTTCGCTAAGAAAACTCCTATTTCATTTGTATACATAAGATATGGTGATATCTTTATAATCTTTTTTCTTCTATGGTCATTTCAATTCTCTAAAGGTGTCATTACAACATCGAAATAAAACTGAACTGTTCTCCGGTGCGCCGTAACGTCATAAAACGTCGCCATTTTTCGTGTGTTGTGTTTACCACTTTCCCATTTCGAATTCTCGAGAAACTGCCAAAAATTAAGCAAATGCCTTAAAATGTTTACAAAGACTACAAAATTGATTGTGGAATTGAATTAGAATAATTTTAATCCAAATTTTTTGTATTTAAAACTTTCATTTTGAATTCAAACTTGTGCATTCTTTAATAAAACCTTGGTTTTTTGACCGTGCGCCGTAGGACAATACCTCGTGCACATTCAGGCATAATAAAATCTTTATTTTTGCCTATATTTTATCAAAAAAATTAACATGCACTTAAATATGATAAATAAACATTTACTGAAATTTCCAGCTTAGTGCGCCCATTACTTTTCGAGAAAAACGCTTTGTCCACGATTTTACGGGACAACCCTCGTAAATATGAAATTGAGGGAGCTTGTTTCCGTAATCAGGGTGGCTTTTAAGGTTGTAATTGTTGCTGATGACCAATTACAATTAAGATCTGAAATTTTTAGAGTTCCGTTTTTATTGATTATGCAGTTCTCTGTGATAGCAAAAAGTGTTAATTTTAATTTATCCTGAAGATTTTGTGTATAAAGTGCAGAAAAGTAATTAGTTGTGATGTTGTATACTTTTGAAAGAAATGTGATTTATAAGTTTCTAAAAGTTTTGATAATTTACATTTGATTTCCACCACTTCTAGAATATGATGTATCACGGTAATCAGAAGTTTCTCCTTAACACCAGTTATTATTTGTGTATTAGGAGTAATGATAAGGGCTTGGTAGAGCATTTCGCTGAACCCATGCAATGTATCTTTGTTTGGAAGGATTTGTATGAAGTTTAGGAATCCAGCACACAGGGTAGGTCGAGCCTTCCTTTACGACCTTTACTGGTAATCAAAAGTATTTGAATACTGAAATATGACTACTAGTGTGTCTTGGTGTGTGGTTGAAAAGACATATATTGCACGTAATGATGTCATACGTATTATAATACATGTACCTCTTTTGGAATTTTGAAGTACGTATTTCAAACTTTAGAGTTAGAAACTCCAACGTCAACGCTATTTCAACTTATCTCTTTTTCAAATAAGTCATTACCTCGTTAGTTTTGGTATTTTCAAAATTCAAAGTTGACATTTCTAATTTTAATCTAAACTTTTCAAACTTTAAAGTAATCCCAACTTTAAGAACTTTAAGAAGATGGCAATTCCAATTTCACTTCTGGATTTTACAATATTTTGAGCTTTTCTGGCTTTTTGTTTTACTTTTATTTAATAACTTTATTGACTTTTTCAAGGCAAACATTTTACATTGAAACAAACTGGTGAGCAATTGAACTACGCAAATATTTTTTTTTACCTACAGCTTCATTTAATGCATGGTCTTACAATATAAATTTGAATTTTAAGGGTTTTTTTTATTTCTCTTGGCCCATCTTTTATTATAGAAGAACCAGTTACTTCATTTACAGTTATTTCACCAGTCCAATTACTTACAACGTTTCCGAAATAAAATGCATGGAGCCCCTGTAAAAGAGAGGACCAAATTAAGGTTGGAAAAGCCAAGAATAAAGTTGGTTAAATTAAATTTAAAGTTGGAATTTTTAATTTTAAAATTGGAAAAGCACAGATTCAACTTTAAAGTTAGAAAAGACAATATCTGAATTGAAAAGCCAATATTAAAGTTGAAAAAGCCAATATTAAAGTTGGAATAACCAGCTTTAAAGTTAAAACATTTTTTATAAAAGTTAGAAAAGCCAACTTTAAAGTTGGAGTTAGAAACATCATAGTATTTCTAATTTGAAACAAAATCAAGAGAATAATACACTTCCATAGGATAGAGACGGACGTTGATGAGGAAACTATTCTAGACCCAGAATAAGCGTTTTTGTCATTCTAATTATTACAGTCCAGAATTTAGGTTTTAATCACTTGCCAATCTAATTTCAGTGATCAAAATCACATGCCAAATTTACAAAAATGCTAAACCAAACTAGTGTTTTATCTTTTCCTAGTTCCGTTGCTATTTTGAGAAGTCATTCATCAATGAAATCATAAAATCGATAACGATTGATTTCCTCAAAGAGAACTCTTTTTTTCCCAAAGTATTTTGCGGTTACGTAGTTTTTGCTGAGGACACTGAGTGAAACATCTTGACAAGTCCTATGGCTGTAGCGAATTATCTAAAGTAAGATAAATGGAATTCGGTGTGCAAAAACAGAGAAATGATGAAATATCATTAATGTTTAGAGTTTTATGCAATGTATTTTCTAAAAAAAAAAACATGAAGACAAGATAATATATAAATAGGTTTTATTTGTCAAAGTTACAATTAAACACTGTAGGAAAGATAATGCGATTACATGTATCATAATTTGTTACTGGTAGACTATGACAAATAAACCAGCAATTTCATTACTTATTACTGGATAACAATTTTGTATTAGTATTAAAAATTGTATATAGCATAAAAGAATTGAATTGTTATCTGTTTTTATATTTTTTTACTGGTGCATGCACACATATTAGAACAAATTAGAACCTCTCTTTTGTAATGAAATTATAGGGATATTGTAAACGAAATAAAAAAAATGCAGATACTGCCTGCATAACTTTAGGATTTTATTTTTGAAACACATTCTAATTTTATCATAATCATATTTTATTTTCTTAAAAGAAAGTAGATTTAAAATTTTTAATGCCCTAGAAAACCGAAAGTGCGTCTCTCTACCTCTCTATCTTAGACATTCTTACATTAATTTTTGTATCTTTAACTATGATTAGGGACGTGCATATCAGAGCTCACAGGTCTGACCACACGAAATCAATTTTTCAGTCCAAGCGCCGACAAGTGTGAAAACAGAATAAAGAAACCCTGTCAATTTGTTGACCGACAAAGGGCATATCAATCTGAAACCTCTCATTCCAATATACGGAAGACTTATTGCGGGTTTCGCCAATGCGAAGCTTACGAGCAGGGTCTGTTAGGCTTTTTTTCCTTCTTTTGTAATGGCATTCAAGCCACCTGAACGATACAGATGTTCTGATTAAATTCAATGAGAACTAAATGTTTACCACAAATATAAATTTGGTTTGGTGGGGGCAGTGAACCTGATGCATCAAGTGTATGTTCTAAATGAAAGATATTATCGTTAGAAACATTTTGCTGGTATAAAGAAATGGGAATTTATTTTAAGAATTTCAGAGACTGAGAGAGAGAGAGAGAGAGAGAGAGAGAGAGAGAGAGAGAGAGAATGAATCAATATTACAGTTGCGTACTTGTCATACCAGAAGATTTGATTATCAATTAGGACCCTTTCGCCATTTTCAACGGCGACTCATAATTACAGCAGATCGCTGACAAATTGGACACGACTAAAACCTGTGATTTTATTGAATTTTACTATTGTTCGGACCGCCTTTTTATTGGTAGCTTCAGACTGATGTAAAAGAACTTTTCATAAATCGGCTCTTACATGCAAATCTATATAATATACACAGAGATAGCGAAATACTCATCCGTGTAACAATATACACCTCTGTATTGTTCACTTCTGAAATATTAATAAGAGACAGGATTGATTTTACAATATACATCTTAATCAAATCTTTCATTAAAATTAATGTGTGTATCCCTCTCAATAAAGTTGAATTAACAAACCGCCTTCCTCGCCTTTCTGTCCACTCCGCAGTAGGGCAGTGTGTTTGTGGCTTCCACTTGGGTTTGTATTGTTTATTTAATTTAATGCCTGTATTTTGTCAGACGTTTCATACCAAATGAATAGAAAAACAGAAAATACATTCGACTCGTTCATCCTCCACTCAACAGGATATTGGTAAAGATCTGCTATAGCTGGTGGCTCATTTCATATCATTTGACTGGAAAAACAGGCGTATTGTAAAATTTTACTGGAGCAAAAAATACTAAACTTACCTCTTCATAATTCATCTGGCACAAAACTTCATTTTCTACATGAATGATCGGAATTTAATAATTTACGACACTTTTTACAAAAGTTAAATCGATTCGGAACCAAGGAGGCAGTGTTACATGACTCGTGCATCTTGCTTCGGTAATTAGCGAGTGAGATAATCAGACATATTACCTGGGGCCGGCAGAATCGGGGGGACACGGCGGACGGAAATCTGAACCAACAACTGGATGCTATCTCTGATATGGTGAAAGAAAATCATTATAACTAGGTTCATTAACAATGGGGAAAACGATTTCACCTGACATCTAAGGAAAAGTCACGTTCTGAACCTTATAGCGTCAATCAAAGAGTCCCTCCGTATTTAACTATGGAGATAAGTTATTAATATTGAAAAAAAAAAAGATTTCTCTCTGTCTTGAGCCTTCACGATCTAACAGTCGCACTGTGACAGTAGTTAAGGACTAAGCGAGAGGAAGAAATAGACTCTTAATTTAGCACACAAATAGAGCTAATGGAGATTATAACGACTGGTCAGCGTCTCGGCATCTTTTTTAGTTTTGTGAAAAAATACCATTCTTTGAATTGAAAAAAAAAGTTCCAATGGATTTTAAATCTTGCGTTCACAGCTTGCTTTAATTCGACATCGTAATTACATTAAATAAGCAACAGATGTTTCGAAGATAGAATCCTCTATCTTCTCCAGCGAAATGTTAGCTTTTATTAAAGAACTTATCAGCGTTAATTAGCAATTCTTGGATGTAACTTATTTACTTTAATTACCATAAGATGAAAATTCAGATAGAGCTGAAGTTATCTCGGATCATCTGGCTGCTAGAATCTCTTTTGAAAGGTAAGAATATCCCAGCATCTAGAAATAAATTAGCAATTTTTTTTCTTTAATGGGCCCAATATTTTATTTTCATCATGAATTGGTGTCGTTTGTCCTTTGACTAATTTTCAGACTAAACACAAAAAGTCTTAATAAGTTTAGACAATCTGTCTAACTGAGAAAGAAGACATCATATAAATTGATATTTTTGAGTGAATTTCAGAATTGGAAGGGGTATATGACCAATTTTTTTTTCTGCTTATAACTATCTTATTTGAATTAAATTGAAATTTTTTAAAAACTTTTTAATGTAGAAAAATATTTTCATGAAAGCAATTTTAAACTCAATAATTAATCATGCAAAATTTTACAATCAACTAACTTTTTTTATCTTAATTGTTAGTTCTTTTGTAAAACGGGCCCCAAATCTTCTTGAGATAATGATCTGTACTGCATACAAAATTGCAAACTAATAAAAGGTAAGTAGTCTGAATGAGCATTGATGAACCTTTGTCTTGCAAAATCTGAGAAAACAGATCCTGCGAAAAACTAAGAAATATTAAATATTCCAATGCATCCTCGTGTAAATGAGTAATCAATATATTGTTTAAATTTCCAAATTATAGTGTGGGAGTATTCTATTTTCTTCTTCTTTCGTAATTAATACCGAGTCCTTTTCCCAAGAGGTAGCAAATGTTCGAATCATTTCTTAACACAGAAATCCCTCGGAATTCATAGTCTTAGCAGAATATCTGAATTCTATTGTTAATCCTCAAAGTTTGAAACAAAAATCGAATCGATGTCATTCTGGAACAAATAATTAAAATCAATATTCTAGTAATAATTTAACTTCAAGGCTGATTGAAGAGAAACTGAATTCTCTAAAGAGGCAACAAACAAAACTATTAAAGTACATTTATGTAATGTTTAACGACTAAAATTTTTAAAAAAGGTATTGCAATTTTCTAATGTAGCTTTTTATAAAAGTTTCTTTCACTAATTAACAAATTTCAATTGCCAATTGAAAATTGTTAATTAGTGAAAGACAAAAGTATCAACAATCCAGAAACGGATTTCTTCAATACTTGACAGCGCTTTGATTGAGATAATTTTCAATATTTACATTTCCAATAAATTTCCCCTATTACTCTTTACAAGAATGAATTTTAAAGACTTTTAGATTAAAAAAGATCATGCGGAATTTGATCTCTTCAAATAATCCGTGAAACAAAGTAGAAATACGTACATATTAAAAAGATATGGAGAGTTTGCTTAAAGTTTATACTCTGCCATTTTCTGCTATATACATGGACATGTTCAATAGTATCTTAAATCATATGCAAATAATATCCCCAGTGCCTGTATCCTTCACTTGATTAAATAAGGTTTTCTTTTCAAATGTTAAAAATAATGAAATATTAATTAGTTTGCGTGTTTTAGTATGATTTTTTTCTTTTTGTGGTTTACACAGTTTATCAAAATTGATTTTTACAGTAATTTTTCATTTTATCATAATGAAACACTTTTTTTTAGTTTTAACCTCCTTAAATTTATGTGGTGAATAAAGCCTGATGTAGTTTAGTGTAGCCTTGATGTATGGTATAAAATATGTTTATGAATAACTCACTTCCTTAGATTACTAAAGCACACTTAAGATTTTATTGGTTTTCGCCAAAATGTGGCTGATGATTTATCTTTATCAAGTTGAATGGCTCTCTTTATTTATCGCAATCAAATAAACTCAGTGTTTTCTATATCCAGATGAATCTGTACATGGCAATGCACTGTGAGCAGTTGAACAAAAAAAGCAAAACCGATTATATTTTGTTGCTTCAATTAAATGAGCAAAACCAGACAATGAAACGAAGGAAGACGTCGAAATTTGTAAAAGCTGTAGGAAAATCCGAAGTAGACTCATAAGAAAAGGGCAGAATCAATATTTGATTGACGGAATATCTTTTAATCAGTGCTTGTCTAAGAAATGTTCTGTTAGATCATGGGCCTGTTATTTCATTTCTCGCCATTTGAGCAGATAATGGTGGCAATCTGCTTTTCTTCAGTAGTCTATAGCTATGAGGAGTGAATGTCGATGTAAACTCATAGATTTATAGCAAGTTTACGTAAATCAAAGGAAATCTTTAAGTTAGCGGGTAACACTTACAAAATGAAATATACAATGTCTGAAGAAAACGTGTAAACAGGGAAAAGCCAATTTACACCTTGAAAGCTAAAGTGTCGAGATCAATTTGACATACACCACGTACAAACGATTTTTTAAATGACCTAGGTCTTTTTCAAGTAATTATAAAAAAAAATCCTAGGTCACTAAAGTTACCAACTGCACGAAGTATTGAATCTTTTTGAAGCAGTACAATGAAACAAAATCTATTCGTATCACGTTATGTTAATGTCAATTTTTAAAACAATTTTATGCAAATTCATTTTAAACTTGGACGATTACTTTTATTGTAGACGTAGACAAACATGAATTTAAAAAAATCCCCTATCGCATTTTATAATAAAATTTAGCTAAAAAATATTGAACTTCATTAGCTGTATATTGATTCGTCATTTTCTTTAATTAGATTATAGTTATGATGATTATTTACTTAAAAAGTATATGTTTCATTGGCAATAAGACGTATTTTAAAAAGTGTATATTTGAATAGATTAGGAGCATAATAATTTTAAGAAAAAAAATAAGAGAACAGTGATTTAAAAGTACGCACAATTTTGAATTCCTTTATCTTACATTTTCAGCCGATATGTAGCGTTAAAGGATTCATTTTGCATCATGCCAAAGGGATTTCTGCCCCAAAAATAGAAAAATTGTTATTTCTATACATTAGCAGATTCGGTATACCCCAATGAAGTTAAAAGGAAGGACACCACAGAGTCGGACAGGGTGTATTTCTTATTTAAATATTTTACTATGAAAGGTTTGTGATAAACATGATGACTTCCACCTTTATCGTTAACTTTCCTAACATTTACTTACACTTAAGTAGCAAGTTACCCTTAGTACCTGCAAATGAGGTTTATGTCTACCAGTTGATTCGATGTGCAAAAATTATTTTAAGTTAAATTTCATGTACATTGCTTTAGTAAACCCGTACAATCATATTTTTTAATAACTGCTATTGAAAGACAAGTTATTTGCTGTAATCAACAGGTATTTTGATGCCAAATTATATATGTTATGTAATCACATACAGTTGTTATTGCATAATTGTTTTATAAATTTCGAAATTGTGTTTTATCATTTCTCCCAGTCTTTTTTATTCAGTTTTATGTATTATATTATATGTTGTCATTTCATAATAAATGACATATAACAAACATGTCTTGTGTTATTTGGCAAAAAACAAGTCAATGTTGTCAGACCTTTATACAATCATACTTTTTAATGTATTAACAGTTATTAACAACAGGTAGATGAAACAATTTTTCATTTGAAGGTATCATTCAAATGTCTGACCTTATCAGTAAAAACAATTTTTCATAAGGCCAAATGCTGACTGTCGTTTTTCGTGCTAATTGTTGAGCTATTTTTTACACACTGCAATTTATTTGAATTTTTCTGTTTACTTGATCATGGCAAGGATCACACAGCGGGTTTTATTTGTTGGTAGGGGATGTTCACTCATCCATGGCAACTGATCCCGCCGATGGTGTTTTTACCTCTCAGTGTTTGTTTTGCTTTCGAATTGTATTGTTGAAAAGGAGCTTGAGAGTTTTTCTTTTTAATTTAGCCAACGCCTGTCGGGTAAGTTTTACTTCAAAGATATGAATTTATTGGGTAGGTTTGATATGACCTCTGCTAATGCTTGCGTAAGAAAAAATGTTATTTTTATTAATGTGTGGATATGTAAATATGTCTGTAATCAATAGATTCATATTCTTTCGTTAACACTGCGACTGACATGCAAAACTCTTGTGTTTTACAGACAAAAAACTTGAATATTTACTAGTAATCTGTGTGAAATAAACTTTTATGCAAGTGAACCAGATTTCCATTTTTGTTCATCTTGTGAATAGGTTGATTTTATGTCAAACTAAAATGTCGAATAAGAATCATAGTTTTTATAACTTACTTTTTCGAACAAGACATGCAGCATTACAAAAATTAAATATAAATCACAAGATTAAGTATCCAAAATGAATTTAAACTTCCATATATATTGGATTCCAAAACATCATAAGAATCCTTACAAAGAAACATATAGCGGGTTCCAGTAAATGTTCAATTAAGCCTCTTTCTTTACACCTCACTAAGATATTAACAAATAACAATAGTGAAGGAGAAACTTCAAGAGTACTGTGAAACAATATATTCAGAAAGTGGTGTGAATCATATGTGGATACTTAAAAATTCAAAAGAACTCTTGAACAATTTGAAATCACAAGATTTCACCAAAATCAACAACTGAAAAGCTTACCAATTTCCAACTTTATACACAACCATTCCCCACGATAAATTAAAGTACAAGCTTTTTGATATCATTGACAACTGCTTTTTCAATTAAAATTGAACTCGTAAATTAACTTACCTTGTCACTGGTCATTTGCAAAATTATTTTGTTAAAATACTTTCTGATTGTATACACAGGTACTCTGAAGTTGACATAAAAAGTTTGAGTTTCTGATTGCAATATGTGTCGTTTTTGGAAACCAGGTCTTCCAACAATCTATTGGAATTCCACTGGGTATCAATTGCGCCCTGCTATTAGCAGGCCTATTTTGTATTCATATTAAGCAAATTTGTCCAAAATCTTATGCGTGAAATGATGAAAACACTTGCTGTGGTCTTTAGCTCGACAATTAGATTTATCGAGGACGTATTGTTAATTAACGATGGTGATTTCCATTCTTATGTCGATTTGATATATCCTAGTGACCTTGGGATAAAAGATACCACAGTGTCTGACACATCTGTTTCATATTTGGATATTTTACTTGAAAAAAAAGTTAATGGAACCAAGCTCTATGATAAACGTGATGACTTTAACTTTTCTATCGTCACCTTCCCTTACTTATGCAGCAATAAACCATCATTACCTGCATTCGGAGTTTATACATGTATACCGGTATCTCAGCATGCTCTACGTATGAACAATTTCTAAAAAGATCTGAATTATTGACAAACACGTTGCTGAAACAAGAATCTCAGCTGTCTCTTTTAAAGTCGTCATTTCGTAACTTTTATGGTCGAAACAATGACTTTGTCAGCAAATACAATTGATCATTCAGTCAAATGCTGACTGACGTTTTTCATACTGATTGTTAGTCCATTAATTATACATTGAATTGACGGCGGATTTTTCCGTTGTTTCTCGATCATGACAAGGAACACACGACGGATATGACCGGTCGGCAAGGGATGCTCACTTCTCCATGGCATCTGATCCTACCTCCGATGTTTTGAGGTCCGTGTTTGCTTTGTTATTTTGTATTGTTTAAGGGACTTTTGATCTTGAACACCGTTTGTTATTTCCATATGTTTCATTAGTGTGTAAATATTGGCCCCATAGATTAATGATAGAGTGTATTAAAATTTTGATCTTAATGTCAATGTATCGACCATAGACTTTGCAAAAGGAGACTTTTGATATCTATGTTTTATCATTTCTTCATTATACAGTGTAGCTTTCTTAGTTTTAGAAATTATTCCGTACGTAGATATAATGTTCAGCTAGAGATATAACTTAATTAAATATGCAGGTGATAAGACTATATTGCACCATAAAAAAGGAAAGTTGACGGTAGAAAAATTGAGATCACCATATTTATACTAAAATTTATTTGTTAGGTAACCATTAAAGTCCTTTGCTACCAAAAAAAAAGAAAAAAAAATTACGAAACAGGTGTGTCAGACAAGTCTTTTATTTCAATCTCTCTTAGAAATATCGAATCAATGTAAAAATGAAAATAACTATTAATTAAAAACGCCGTAAATAAAACAAATTGTTTAATCAATGGACACAGCAGGAAAATTCTTTCATTTTTGTACATATGAGAATTCAAACAGATTTTTAAAAGACTTCTTTCCAAAAATATCATTAATATATTGTGAATCACAAGTTAAAGAATCTTTTTGATATCAACTTATGAAACAATTTTAGCATATGTGTAACATGTTTAAGAATAAATTAAGGAACCTTTTCTATTAAAATTCAATATTTTGCAAATAAACAACAAGTCTACATCATAAAAAGTCAAATATCATCAAATATCTATAAGGCTTTTGCGAATTATTTTGTCAAATATAATAAAAAATTACATGACAATTGACAATTAGGTCATCATAACGAGCATAGAATTTACTAAATGTTGATTCAAAGTGATGTTGTTCAAATCCCTGTAACATCAATTTTTCTAACAATAGTCTGGTTCGATTAAATAATTGATAGTGTTCTAAAGTATTGAATAAGTTGGGAAAAGTCAATAACATATGCAGGTTAATTACTACAACAAGGAAAGTTGAAAATGGGAAAACATCTTTTGTGTCTTACAGTTTAGTTGTTATGTTGGCCCTTATATAGTTATACTCATTAAAACATTCAAACATTCAAGATTTGCGATACTCTGTGGTATCCTTTTTTGAGACCAATGGAATATATCGGGTTTGCATATGAATGGAAAAAAAACTATATTGTTAATTGACAAAATGATTGGTACATATGCTTCACTTTTTTTAGAGACTAACAAATCTCTTTTAAAATTTTAAAAATGACAATGCGTTTTATGTGATTAGATAAAAGTAGCAAATTTAACTTCGCCTGTTCTATTATTGATGTCATTGTTCTTTTATTCGGAAAAACTGTCAATACAAGTCAGGAGAAAATTGAATGTACTAATTTAGATAAATGAACATTGATCCATATTAAATTTTCATGTAAAGAAAAGAAACAAATTGGCCAAATTTCCTTTGAATACCTTCGTTACGCCATTGAAATTCATAATTCACATAAGTTATCACTTTCTTCTTCTAGTTTATAAGTATTGACATTTGATGTTTTCTTCTAAAACCACCAAGCTTAATTCAATCGCAGCAGCGTACCCAGAAAGGATTTGCAATGACAATACTGCGAATTCTAGAAAATAAATTCCCAAGGTGGTCGTAAAACTCGATCTCTATCATCATTCATTTAACAGAAAAACTACAAATAAAAGCTTTCTTCATAATATCTTCCCTGCCGTATGAACAAGAGTTGTATTAAATTTCACCTACTAAATACTCTTCCCATGTGCCCTGAATGATGACGAAGTGTGAATGCTCTCGACACGTGCAAGAAGTAGAAGTCAAAAGCGATCAATTCCTAAAATTCCGGAATATTTCTCCGGTCAGCGAGCCTTTAACCAATGTAATAAACATGCACTGGTGTTCCGATCCTTTAGTAGTTGTAAAAAATCGTAATAATAATAAATTATTGAATACATCCAGAGAAAAAATGATATAAATTAGGCAACCTATGTTCCTTGCCCTCTCCCGACTTGGGCTAAAATTAATCGGTCGGTAGGTAGGAAGGTGGGGAAATCTTTGAAAAATTTCAACATATTTGTTGACTAGATAAAAGGAATAAAAAAGGGAAAAAAGATCTTGTCCTAGAATGTAAAAAAAATTGTTTTGAGTCAGCAAATTTTAGTCAGTCGGTCGGGAATGGGAAACAAACCAGTTTTCAAAGGTGGTCCTAGGAAAGAATTCTTCAGCAAAATAGTATCATCGCATCACGATACGAGTGAAACATTTTTCTTCTTATTCTTTAGGAATTTGGTTATTCTATAAAAATAAAATTTGCATTACATCACTATTCACAACCTAAATTCTCTCGATGTTTGCTGAACGTTTTTTTTTTCTTTTTTAGAAAAGAGGCATTTCAAACTTAAATCACTCTTTATTATTTCACAAGCTGCACATCAAATTTTCTCACTTTAAATCAAATAGATATTGGTGGAAAAGACAGCTATATGTGAAAAGAAATAAAAATAAATGAAAGCCTTCTACAATGAAAGGAGAGTCAATAACACATGTTTTATAGGAAAAAATTCACAATAAATAGACCGCCAAAATATTTATTTAGTTATGAAGTGCCATAGTCTGGTAATTTGTCGACAAATCAAATACTTCATAAATTTCCCCTCAATTAAGAGCTTATTTCTCGATACAAGCACGGTGAATATTCTGTTAAGCACATTGATTTTCCTCCTTTAGAATTGTTTCTCGAGTACAGATTATAGAAGTTTTAGTTCTTGTAAATCTTTCTTTTTATTTGATGTATTCTTAGTTTTGATATTTTTCCTCTATCCTCCAACTCTCTGAAACCTCTTTAAGATTCGATAATTGAAGACTCTAACGGATCCGACGATAGCGTGTCTTTCAATCCCGTGTACGAGAGTGGACAGAGTTTCTGTAATATTTTCATGGGAAGCAAAGAATAAAAGGACTGTCGAGTTGCAGCTGATTCTTTTATTCAAATGAAAAAAAGAGCATTCGTGCTTTTAATATTATCAGAAATTCGCTAAGGACTCTTGTAATAAAGTGAACGCTTTACGTTTCAGGTTCCATTGAAATATGTAATTTTGTTAATATTCAAGCTTTCGTGCAAATTACATGGTACTCCCTCAATTTTATGCTTTGCCACGACTGGCGAAAGCATCTTCCCTAATGATCAATTTTATAACGGGACAATCAGAGTTATTGCTGCACTAAGATTTTCATGATCAAAGCGATCTTTCTTTGACAAATTATAGCTTTTAACAAAAGCGCATTGATCAAGTCTTATAAATTACTTCTTGACTAAACTTCAAAAAAGGAAAACAAGGCACTTATCAGCTGCTTATATGTATCTGCTTGTAGCTCAACTTTTCTTTGAATCAAGCACTTTTTTCTGCCAAAAGCCGGATTTTATTGAACAATATAAAATAACCCCCATAAATGAAATAAAATGTCAAAGGGATGAAAATCCACAGACAAAAAAGGGAAATATTTTAAAAATCTATCAATATGATGTGTCGTTTCGATACTGATTTGTATCTTTTTTCTAACGGATGCTGTATTGATTAGAAATTTCAACATATAATTATTCATTTTACTATTTAAGCAACAATTGTAATACATGTATATTCAACATATCTGGAATTGTAATAGTATGCTTACCATATCTTTCAATTTTTAAAGGACATTACAGTATGACAATCTTCATCTCTTTCTTCCAGTATTTCTGTTTGCCCTGCGTCCTCCCCAACCTACATTTGAAAACACATCGGATGTCACTGCCATTGCTGGTAGAAACATTGAACTTAGATGTAGGGTGCATAACCTTCAGAATTACACGGTGAGATTTGGTTTTACTATTATACTCACAGTTAATTCACTTGCAAAGACGTGTTGAATGATGATTTTCTTTTATATTTTAACTAATTTAAAAGCTCATATGAGATATACATATCGTATTTAAAACTTGACTTTGATTTCTTAAATTTGAATTCTGCACTCATTACTATCGAGGAAGTCAGAATAAAAGTACATATCTGTGGAATATTAAGGAAGTCTTTGTATGGTTAGAGAAAGAAACAGATCCAATACCTTGTAAGTTTTAATATATATTGCTGAAAAAATAAGCGTGCATGACTGGTGCAGTAAACAGCTGGGCTAAGTTTACTTAAAACCTAAATAAATTATGCTCTAAAAAAGACAAATCCTATAGCTGTCCACTTTCATTCAAAACAACAAAACTGGACTGTTCATGAAGACTGAACATCAATGCAACCACAAGTCATTTCAGTTTCATGGTCATTTTAGAAATTACTCATTCTGAAGTTTAATATTCAAATCAAGTAGGATGATATGCCAGTATACTGGCTACAGCTGACAATAGCTCCTAACATGGCATGAGTATGTTCACTTTATTATCGTAAAGCTGGGAAATCCTTTCCTAAAATCTAATTGTTGCCTTTTCTTGGTCCCTGTGTTAAAGTAAAGGCTCCGACAATACCACAAAAATTTCTGTACTTGGAGAGAAGAAAGGATGATTAATGATTTTATTGAAAAGCCGACAGGTTTTTTAGTTGATATTTGTGAAGAAAAAAAAGCATTAGGGATCAATCGAAATTTTCTGCCAAATTAGAGGGTCAGTGAAGATACAGTCTAAAGAACCCCCCAAAAATATAAGCTACTTCGCTTATTGGAAGCAATTGTAAGGAAAATACCAATACTTCGGCAACATTAAACTAATGAGGGCGATTTAGGTCTGTTAATGATTTATGTACTAAAATTGGTTTATAATCTAATGAGACGATAGTCCTCTTACGCATGCGTTTTGTTTTAGTTTTTATCTGATAAATACTAGAATCTCATACATTAAAAAAGGAGTTGTGTATCAGTTATCGAATTTGAAATGAATTCAAATATACTGTATACTTACAAAATGTATCACAATTTGAATAAATTGTAAGAGATTGATAATATTTTAAACTATATAAGTACTGCATGTTTATGTCATTGGAAGTCGACGCAGTTTACATGTTGAAATGGCACTTTAAGTCACATACACGTACCTCACTATAACAGAAAAGATCAAATTATTTCTTTCTGAGCTGTGGAGATTTTCTAGAATAAAATAGAATACCTGTCATTATCAGGTAATCCTGAAAATAAGCAATGGGTTTTCTTTCATTTAGGTTGTGTGGATGAATCCGAGAGGGACCGTGATCAGTAAAGACGTCACGAAGGTCACGGATGATACCAGAATTAGCATAGAGAGACAAGTCACAGCGGACTGGAATATCCTGATACGCAATGTTACATTCAAAGACAGAGGCAATTATAGCTGTATCATCAACACAGCCCCGAATCCTACTATAAAATACATCTATCTGTATGTGAATGGTAAGTTATATGAATAGAGATTAAAGAAAAGTCATGTAATATATAGATAAAGTAACTCAGGTTTAAGAAAAAGTACTCCAAAAATACTATTTAGTTTGGGGATACTGATATACATATATATAAAGATATTTTTTCTTAAAATTCAATCTCGATCACAGATTGTTTTGAATATTGTAGTACTGCCAAAAATAATTGAGGAAGCTTCTTCGAGGTCCTTAATGCATGTAAGAGAGGGTGAGACAGTAACGCTAGTCTGTAATGCTACAGGGTACCCTCAACCTAGGATCCACTGGTACCGGGGCAGAAAAATAAATGGTAAGAGAAATAGAGATTAAATGCAAGAAATTGGAGTTCAGTTATATGTAAATAGACAAAGTATAACAGGCTTTATATCTAAAGAAAAACAAGGACAAAGCATTCGTTAGAGAAAGAGCACATCAAATAAATGCTTGAATATAGATTATGTAAATTTAGTTACACGCCATCTCTCTCACTCACACACACTGTAACATGGTCACTCATCTGAAAAATATAGGTCCTTTCCCACTTCTATAGCAAGTGTGGAAGTTTGCGTCCATGGGTTTATCATCCAGGCAAGTTTGGTCAAAATACGGGTTAGAGTGACCCTAGCATGAAAATCTGATCACCCATCCAGGAACTGTAGGTTACATCCAACATCTGATGCAAGTGTTTAAGTATGCATCCATGCCATCGATGCAGGTTTGTTCACCATTAAAAGTTTTAAAATATATCGACAATATTTATCAATGAACAATTGCTTCTTTCATTTACATGTATATGTCAATACGATTTATTATACTTCTGTTATAACGTTTCCTATTTAAAGTTCAGAAGGTAAAATAACTATTCTTCATAGTCTGAAAATTTCCCCGCATAGAAAGCTATACCCCGGGGTATAGTTTTTGCTACCCGCCCTGGGAAAACTTTCATGCAATTTTTGCCGCCAATTTTATTTTCCAGCGTTTAATCCATAGTCTGATGATGTCATAATGACTTCAGTAGCATTGTGACGTCATCAGGATTTCAGCTCATTCTTGCAGTTATCTAACTCTAAAGAAAATTCAAACCTTAGAAATTATAATATACATCAGTATAATAAAACACTTATCCACTGGTTGTGAGTGGGATAGCTCTTTCATCAAACCCTTGACAGGAACTATTCCCCTCGGGCAAGCCCTCGGGGAATAGTTCCCTGTCGCGGGTTTGATAAAAGAGCTATCACACTCGCAACCATTGGATAAGTGTATAATATCCCAGTGAACTCAAGATAAAAGCACAGAGTTTGCCATAAAGATTTTTATTTCGGTGTTTTACTGACGACAGACATTAACAGCAAACTAACAAGTAGTCTGTCTGACAAATGGGACAAATTCAACCTTTTCATTTTCAACTTTCCTTAAAGCAATATGAGCTGCAAGTTTGACATCAGAAAATTTTTGTTGCAAATTTGTAATTAACTATGAAATATATGGCGATAACGAACGGAATTCAAGCTCAAATTTCCATAAAACAATACAAAATAGGAGCAGAGCAAACACGGACCTGCAAAACATCAGAGGTGTGATCAGGTGCCATAAAAAAGAGAGCACCCCCTGTCGACCGCTCACACCCGCCTTGTGCTCCTTGTCATAATCGAGAAATAACGAAAAAATTCGTCGTCAACTCAGTGTATACATAATGAACTAACTATTGGTATGCAAATTGTCAGTCAGTATTTGACTCAATGATTAATTGTATTTGCTGACAAGGTCATTGTATCAACCAGAACTTACGAAATGATTGCTTTAAACGAGACTGCTGATATTCTTATATCATCAACTTGTTTGTCAATAATTTACCTCGTTTTAGAAATTGTTCATACGTAGAACATGCTCTTGCACATAGGATCAACTGAGATATATAAAATCCGTATGCAGATAATGAGGGTATATTGCTACATAAGGGAAGTTGACGATTTAAAATTTAAAGTCATCACGTTTATCATATAGCTTGGTTTTTAGATTATCATTGAAGTCTTTTTCAAGTAAAATATCCAAATATGACACAGATGTGTCGGACTCTGTGGTATCTTTTATCTCAAGCTCAGCAGGATATTTCGTATTGACATGAAACCCGCTATGTATCTTTGTTTGTAAGGGTTTTTATGAAGTTTCGGAATCCAATGTAGATTTGATAATGTGACTTCAAATTGTCCAAAATTTCCTTGGAATTTTTAAGCATCCACATCTGATTTACACCACTTCTTGAATATAGTGTTGCACAGTACTTTTGATGTTTCTCCTTCACTACTGTTAATATTTTTGTGAGGAGTAAAAGAAAAGGCTTGGATGAACATTTACTGGAACGCGCTATGTATCTTTGTTTGTAAGGATTCTTATGAAGTTTAGGAATCCAGTATAGATATGATAGTTCAAATTCATTCTGATTCTTAGGAATATAAAAAAAATATCAAAAACTGACAAATGATTTTGAAGAATTTTCTTCCTTAGAAATGGAACTATAAGTATACTAGTAAGTTGGATTCCAAAAAACACCCAGTCTTTATCTATAACCTTGTTCCTTAAAGTATTGTGATTTATGACCAAGGGTATATATTTTTGTGTTCCTATAATTTTGTTTTAATTCCTGGCTGGACTCATTTATTTTGTTAAATGTCACCATACACAATGATAGCAAAGTTATGTTGGAGACTGTACATAATCACCTATTTTCGCCAAATCAGGACACACAAAGGATATTATAGCAAGTTCTGATCGTCGATAGTCATCCTTCAATGACAGAACCTAGGTCAGACATTATCATCTTCTCCGCAATCACCGCGCGTGAAATCGGTGTGTGGTTTTCACTTAAACGAAAACATCTACCCCCTAAAAGCTATCTGTCATAAAATAGCATGTACTTAATTGTTTTCATAAATTCTCCATTTATTTTGACAATCTTTTTCAGATCATACACATATAAGTAATTATTAGACCACAAAGAATTATTAGTATTGTGGAAGTAAGAGTGTTATAGTGGATGAGAACACTATATTGGCAGTGAATACACATTTCTGTCTTCAAAAGTCAATACTAGGAAATGAATTGATTGATTCACTCTTCTAACAAATTTTCTTCTAAAGTAGTAAGCTTAAGTGTACTATTATATGTGAAATGGATCCTGGCTTCCATCCCTTAAGGCGTGGTTCAGTAGGGTGTTTTTCCTGATAAGTAAAAACCAGGAATTCGATTTGGGATACAAGTCCAGGAAACATAGATTCTTTAAAAGAATTATAGTTCTAAAAAGGGAAATTTCCTTGAAATGAAAAACCAATACAGGTAAATGTATTATACAACAAAGTATCCGAACCTTCCTGATTCTTTGTATTACATTGTTTTAGTGACTGACCAGCCGGGGGACACGCTTATTATACGTAATATCACACGGCATTGTGCTGGTGAATATGAATGTAGAGCCAACAACGGACTTCCTCTGGAAGCTAGTCGTGTATTTACCGTGGAAGTAGAATGTGAGTAAAACCAGTCCAAAGGTAGACCTGCTCAGTGAAAAACCTACAAAATAAAATCTTTTAAAAAATACTTATTTTAGTACCAAAACATATACTAGTATTTTTAAACTTTTAAAGCTGAGATTTGCAGGCCTTTAAAGGGTAGTTTCATAATTAATTCACAAACAATGATATCAAAAATGGCAATACAAACTTAAGCACTTCACATTTTCTTTTAAATTATTATAGTTGCCCCAGAGGTGAGTGTTTTGGTTCCGCGGTTGGGCATCACCCTGAGGACAGAGACCGTGCTACAGTGTAGCTGCTGTGCATCCCCTATCAGAATCTGTGAGTGGAGGAAGGACGGTAGAGAACTACACATCTCTGGAAAGTACGAGCTGAATACTTACAAGGACGACCCTGAGACGATCACCCTCAGTCTCAGTATATTTCACATCCAGGAGGAAGACCTGGGGAGGTATGAATGTCACGCCAAGAACTGGCTAGGGGAGGACAGCGATTATACTTTTCTCTATGGTAAGTTTTATTGCTAGTGATTTTTATCACTGAATGCAAAGTTTGATGAAAAGCTTTTTTAATATTAAACTCTTTTAAATCATTAGAGATTCACAGTCCATAGAATATTCACAGTCCATGTAGAAGAGCATTTTCCTGTCCATAATGATTGATTATACTTACACTGTATAAGTGTAATTGCATTAATATTTAAAATATTTGGTTTATTTACAATGCAATTTTAAATGTTTTATAGAGGCATATGAAATAACAACATCAATTGTCTGTGCAATGCATAGCTTCTTTGTTATGCCCGTCCTTAGAGGTTTAATTGAAAATTTGGTCTTTTGTAGAATACAGACCCCCAGTACCGTCCACTCAATCCCCCATTGCCACCAAAAAATCTGTCACTCCAGAATCTAAATACCGAACTATGAAACCGGAAAGACCAAGAAATCAGTTTGATAATCCTTTTCCCGGTGAGAGCTTCGTTATATTAAGACCCTCAACCATAAAATCACGTAAGTCGACAACAAACTTTAACCCTCCAAAAAAAGTTCATTTATGATTGAGCAATGCCCTTAGTTATTGTAGGTTTGGTTTTCAAAAAGCCTATTTATTCGCTTTTCATTCTTTATATTTTTTATAGTGAGGAATATTGAAGTGAATCTTTTATTTGTGACAACACCAAGGAATCATATGAAAAGGTTAATCAAATGAAAAATATATCTTACATGTATATGCTTTTTTAAAAAATTACATCGTTCCATCGCAATCTATGAAAAATTTTATGAATACATTCATTAGTATATTTGTAAAAGACAGTTAACATTATCTAATGCATATTCGAAATTATTTTTTAAATCAAGTAGTTTTAAAAAGACTGATTAAATTTACACATACTGAATTTCATTTTTACGGAAAATATTAGAAGACTTAGTATATCTTTTCTTTAAAGCATAATTTACCTTATATTACCTTTGTATATAAATGCGACGTCAAGTGGATATTTCAAGCACATTTTGATGCGAACTCAGTTACAAAATTGTGAGAACATATAACTATTTTTATGGTCTGCTTTCAAAATGTTGTTAATTTTAGTGAATGTGGAGAATATAGAATTTTTTCTCCTGTCTTGAACTTGCTATTATGTTTACCCTCGTATTTTGCTTGTCTCTTTTTAACAGCATCTAAATATTCCTCCGGTAGTAGCTGCATTAGGACTGGGGTCTACAGACATATTGTGTTCATTGTGATCGGACTTCATTTGCTTTGTCGTCGGTTTTTATGAATATTCCGCGAAATGATGCATCGAAAGATACCTCATTTTAAACCAAAGAGAATTTAATTAACCAACCTGTGACACATTATTTGTCTTCTATTATATTCAACAAATATGACTGCTTTCAACTGTGTGAAAGACGGATAGTGCAATTGTTTTTATACTGTTTGCTTGTGTAAGACGATATTTTTTTGTACATTAATGTTTTTTTTTCTTGAATTATCACCTTCAAACCTTCCATTGCTTAAATTGTACAAGAAAATTCATTAACTTAGCTTTAGTGATGCATATCTCAGCTTCAATTTAAAGTTGTCAATATGTGTCGGTATTTTTAACCTAAAAAGTGAAATAAGTGCTGAGAGCGCGCGCCAGGTTGACGGCGCCTCTGACGTTGCGAGTGACGTCTCTGTGTTTGCTGATTTGAAATACAGCGAAAATTGTCTTGTTGTACTCTTTCTTCAATAATTCACTGAAGATTCATTGATTCATTCCAAACATTCTCTGGTCTTGGATTAGAGAGGTTTTAAATGAGAAAAAATAAATTTCTTCATTTCAGTATTGACTTACTTTGATTTGTCTCTTTGTATTGGTGTTTGTACAGATGTGGCGATATTAAATGAAGATGAATGTGAACAAAAATAGATTGTTCTTTTTTATCATCTGTGAAGCTGTTTTAATTTAGTACAGTCATATTTCATGTATTTGTGATCGTAAACTTGTAAAAGTTTCAGTTTCATTTATTTATCACTATCAGGAATGGTTATAATTATATAATAGTGTTGCATTATGCATGTACTATGCCTAAATAGTAGGCAGGGTTTGACACATGGTGCACGAGCCGGAGGCGAGTGCACTATGTGTCAAACCCTGCCTACTATTTAGGCATAGTACATGCATAATGCAACACTATTGTTATTATTATGCTGACTGTTGTTATTATTTATGCGGCAATCCATTTGATTTTTTCCTGAAAATAATGGTGGTAACACAGCGCACTTGCAAAAACTCATTCAAAATCTTCATGCTAGAATTAGTTGCATGCTTAGTTATTTTGGTTACTAGTATTTTCTCTAAATAAGTAAGAATTTCCTGTTACAAAGATACTCATCTTTATTTTCTGTTTTGTTAGTAAGACTGATTTGTTTACAGACGTGGATTCTCATTGATAATTTTCTTTTACATCCTTCAATCAAGCGCTATATAAAAAAGCGTTTTAATGACCCCATGATATCAATTCATCTAATGATCTGTATATAATTAGTTTGAAACTTTGTTGTACACATTTTTCTCAGATTCCTTAGAATAAATATAACTGTTTTCAAATAATATTTGTCTATTTTCTCCTTCTTGTGTCAATTGTATAAATTAAGTTTATATATTTAATAAAATTTTCCTAATCAGTGATCGTCTCTGTGGCGTAATCGATAAGGCATCGGACTGGCATCCTCACGGTCGTGAGTTCGATACCCGTTGTGTGTAATGTAGAATTTTCTTCAAAAAGTAAAGCCGTGCTCTATTTCGGCATAGTATGCTTACGCTATATAAATCCTTAGACCACTATGCGAGAATAGTAGGGTATGGGCTATATAGAGACAAACTGACAGGAAGCATAATAATATATGTTAAATTAAAGTGCGGGATTTTTGACATCATAGGTATGTATTCATATGAAGCAGAATTTGTCCAAAATCTTATGCGTGAAAAGAAAGCACTTGCTGTGGCCTTCAACTCAACATTTAAATATATCGACGACGTATTGTCAATTAACAATAGTAATTTCCATTCCGTATGTCGAAACCATATATCCTGCATCTCCGCTAGCCAAGGGTTTTCGGGGAGCGTTGCGGACTGAAAACCCTTGGCTAGCGAAGATGTATATCCTGGTGAGCTTGAGATAAAAGATACCACAGAGTTTGAGACATCTGTTTCATATTTAAATATTTTACTTGAAAAGGTTAATGGTAATCTAACAACTAAGCTCTGTGATAAACGTGATGACTTTAACTTTTCAATCGTCAGCAATATACCTTCATCACCTGCATACGGAGTAATATCTCAGTTGATTCGATACGCAAGAGACTGCTCTACGTATGAACAATTTCTAAAATGACTGAGGTAAATTATCGACAAACAAGTTGATGAAACAAGATTATCAGCAGTCTCTTTTAAAGTTATCATTTCGTACGTTCTATGGTCGATACAATTACCTTGTCAGCAAATACAATTTTTCATTGAGTTAAATGCTGACTGATATTTTACTAATTGTTAGTCCATTACGGTATTTATACACTGAACTAACTACGGATTTTACAGTAATTACCCAAGGAGTTGACAAGAAGCACACAGCGGGTGTGACCGGTCGGCAGGGGATGCTCACTCCTTCAGGGCTTCTGATCCTACCTCTGATGTTTTGGAGGTTCGAGTTTACTCTGATCCTGTTTTGTATTGTTTTATGGACTTTTGATCTTGAATACTGTTCGATTCGTTATCTCCATATATTTCATCATAGACAAATGCTTCCTGAAATACTAGTAAAACTTAACTGTTCTCGTAAAAACTAAATAATGAGGGATAGATTCAGTTTTTCCACTCTCATCTTCCCTTACTATTTATGTAGCAATTTTGCTACATAACTTGTATATCGTATCTTCCACAGGCAAGAGCATGATCTACCTGACCAAAGAATGGATTAAATAACAACTTATTTTATGTTTTAATTTTTACCAAGCTTTTTGATTGTCTTGGATCCAACAAAGTACAAATCCCACTGTTCACCTGCACAAGATCTTCCAGGTGAACATATAGCATTTAATCCATTTATGTATTTTTCATTTACAATTGACCAAAAATAGATCTAGAGCTTTGAAATTGATACAACTTGTAATGAAACTTGTGGTTATCTGGATATCAGAAAATGGATTTTTTTTATATCAGAGAATGATTTATATGATTTTGGAGACCAGGTCTTCCAATTATTTATTAGAATTCCCATGGATAAGACCGCGGAACATTAACTGGCAAAATTGGAAATATACAGCTTACGTCATTTCTATCTGTTACAATCAAAACATTCAGTGATAGACAATGAAATGGGCGGGTACAATTCGACGCGGACGTTTGGAAAACATCGGATTGAAATTGCAAATCGAAATTCATTTTCAATCCACCTCAACTACGCTATAGAAGGCACATTATTACTGATTGACCCAGAAGACAAATAATTTCAATTTTGGTACAGTTTGATTTTTTTTTTGTCCAGTGTTTTAAATAAATAAATATTTAAGGGAGAAATATTTCATTTCTGTTTGGTAAATATATGTATATCTTTCTGGTGGTGGTGGGGGGGGGGGGTGAACGATTTTTAAATAAAGTTGTCCAACAGTTTTCAGTGAGAATAAGTATAAAACTCATGCACTCTTATAATCCTAGAAATAAAATATATTGTCATGTTAAGCCATGACCTGACTCTACAATTCTTAACCCCCTCCCCTCACCTTCTAGAATCAAATATCTCCTGAAAAATAATCTTTGTCTTGTATGATATTTCGCGTTCTTAAAATTATAAGCTAAAACTCATTTTAATGTGAATTTTAAACAATATGTATTTGGGAGTTGAAATAAAGTTGATTTTTGCTTTGAAAACAGCTCAGGTGAATTCAAAATGAATTTCGATCTGCTATTTCAATCCGATGTTTTCCAAACGTCCGCGTCGAATTGTACCCGCCCATTTCGTTGTCTATCACTGAATGTTTTGATTTTAACAGATAGAAATGACGTAAGCTGTATATTTCCAATTTTGCCAGTTAATGTTCCGCGGTCTTACCAATTGCAGCCCGTTATTAGCAGATTTATTTTTGTAATCATATGAAGCAGAATTTGTCCAAAATTTATAATACGTGAAAAGAAGAAAACATTTGCTTTGGCCTTCAACATGGCATTTAGATACTGTATATAAACGACATATTGTCAATTAACAATGGTTACTGTTTACCCATTATCATGTCGATACGAAAAATACCGATGAGCTTGAGATAAACGATTCCAAAGAGTATGACCCATCTGTTTCATATTAAGATATGTTACTTGAAAAATGTTTTCTTCTTTTTACGTATAAGATTTTGGACAAATTCTGTTTGTATGAATACAAAAATAGGTTTGCTAATAACAGCGCAATAAGTTCCCATGGGAATTCCAATAGATTGTTAAATTATGACTTATATAGAAGCAATATTATAACGAATCCAAACTGTTCTTGTGGATATAAGGAGGATAGTCTTCATTTTTTCTTTGTGTGTAGAAAATATCTAGAAACTAGACGTTTAATATTGAATTCTTTACTTGTAGTCAAAAATGTAAAGAAGTTAAATGAACATAAACTACTTTGGGGAGATGAATCATTATCTTTGCAAGAAAATGAAAAAAATATTTGGTATTGTTCAAATATTTATTCAGGATACTGGCCGTTTCAATTAACAATTATTTCTATTACTACCTATTTCAAAACTTTTTTTATTATGGTCATGCCGTCATTATAATCAACAGAATATTAATTGATATTTTTGGCAATAATAGCTTTTGTTTTTCATTTTCTATATTCATGGATATTAATGTAAAATTGTAAATCTTTGTAAATATTGTATGGCTATTGAGATTTTGTGTATGGGGGAGGACTATCTAAGATTTTGGAACTTGTGTTCAATGATCCCTTTGACATGTTGTCAATAAAATATGTTTAAAACAAACAAATATAGTTGGAAGACCAAAAACCACATAGATATTGTCAATCAGAAACATAAGTATTTTTAAATATCAACTTCAGAGTTTTTGTTAACTTAGTGAGGAGTAAAGAAAGAGGCTTAGTAGAACATTTTCTGTAACCCGCTATGTTTCTTTGTTTTTAACGATTTTTATGAAGTTTTTGTATCCTATATAGATAATCATATGGTAATTCAAATTCAATTAAAAAACTCATTTTGGTTACATATATTTAGAATATTACTAAAATTCAAATTTCCAGGCAGCGGAGGGGCACAGCCAGACATTTTAATTCAGTTCCAGGCACTATCAACTACCGAGAATTCCTTGACTTTTTATTGAGGGAACACAAGCATATAGTACATTGTAGCTTAGGTTACTTTAATTTCTATATTATAGTATATTTAAATATTCTATATATTGGCAAAATTAGGGGTCATGCCCCCTGTTCCTATGGCCATGAAATATAGGTTGGATTACCACATGTAGAATTAAATCCAAGTTGCTATAGATTAAATTTTATATAATGAGCCTTTCAAACAAAGACAATGCTGTTACCTGCTTTGTCAGCAGGATCCAGTACGTACTGATCATGTACATGTAATCTGTATTCTATCTTGTTCTTTTTTCACTTCTTGGTTGTGGAATACAGAAGTATATATGGTTTTCATATGGTTTTCATATTCCCTCTCAATCGCTGAATGATGCATTTAATCTATTTAGATCCTGACTAAGTGTCAAGGTCTTCTTTTTCATGCCTGGTACATCGTCTGGCGTCATCTTCTACACAATCCACAATCTTAGTATTCTTTTCCTGTTTGGTAAATACATAGGTCTTTACATCGCCGAAAAACACTTTTGTCGGTCGGAATAAAAGCAATATAAAGGCCATAAATTTTTCTCCATGCTCTCTGTGTAATAAAATCGGGTTCGTTATTTACAAAAGAGAGACCGAGAAAATGAAAGTAGACTGCAACCCGTGGAAGGCAGAATCAAAACACTAAATAGGGAATTAGTAGGGAAATTTTTACAGATTTTCTAAATTCATGGGTCTTTTAAATAATTTTATTTTAACAGTTTTTCCGTTAGCTGTGGGAATATTTGGAATTTATCTTTGGAGAAGAGGTAAAAATTTCAATATTTTTTTATGTCGACAGTTCCAAACAACGTTTTGAAATCTCGAAGAGATTTTTCTATCATATTAGTAGTTATAATTATCATTTCTCGACTTTTTAATATTTTTATAAATAAATAATTTCCAGATCCATTAAAATCAAAGAGACCTTGTAAAGAAAAGGAAACGAATGGCGGGGATGGAGAAACAGCTACTGATAATACACCAAGATCTTCCAAACCGTCTCAAGCTCTACCTGTAGACAATGAAACGGAGCCTAAAACCTTAGACCCAAAGAGCATCCACACTGACATACACAAAAGAAATCTTGGGTCTACTACCAATCGGAATTGTAATGAAACAGGACCTAAAACTGTAGTATGTTCAGAGCCAAAGAGCACCCAAACTGGCAGATATGAAAGAAAAGAGTCTACTTCCAATCAAAATCGTGACGAAACAGTGCCTAAAACTTTACAGCCTAATAATAGACACACTGTCCTATATGAAAGAAAGGAATCATCTGACAATTGGAATAGTGCTACAGGGGATTTAGAAGTGGATGCACCAGAAAGCATATTTCCATCAACACCCGTATCTCTCCACAGGCACTCTGAACATGCTGAAATGGTTCAATTTTCCTCTGGATATCAAGAGACCCTTTTTGGTAAATATTAAAGGCAGTGAAAATATAATGATACAGTAAAACTCGGTTATAGCGAAGTCCTCGGGACCTGTGAATTTAATTCGCTATATCCGTAATTCGTTATATCCATATAACAAATTCGTTTAACCATTATAGCGAATTCGCAATATGCATGTTTTCCTTATGGTATTACTACCAAATATGTTAGGGAACAGGGTTCGAAATTAACTCATGTCCGTAAGTCCGAGACTAGTAAAAATTGTGTCAGACTAGCAGACTTTGTAAGGTACTAGTCCGCATGGACTAGTGCAAATCCGAATATAAGTCTTGAATCTGTTCACATTTTATTAATTTTATTTCCGAGTCTCTTAGACATTTGAAAATAAACGAGAAACGCAACCGCGATAAAGCGTTTTCTACATTGTGATCAATAGAATAGGACGTGACCATGAGGAGATTTCTGAAAGTTGAAAACCCTCTTTCTTTCACCACATGCTTCCAACTGATGTGTGGACACATATTTCATTGAATAAATTGATAAAAATTTTAAGATTTGTGATCTTCTTTTTACATACTATAGGGCGGACTAGTGGAATAGTTTGCGGACTAGTGGAAGCTAGAAGTCACTAGTCCGTGCGGACTAGTGCTAAAAAAAGTTAATTTCGAACCCTGGGGAAGCAAATATTACAAAACATATCTTCGATAACTAATGTTTTATTATGAATTTAATTTTATATACAAATGCTAGAAGGAAATAAAGTCAGTTCAATTTATCATTTTTTTTATAATCTTGGAAAGTTCGTTAAAAGATTTTAATTTCACTATATTTAACCTCAATGGGACTCAAAATTAGTTCGCTATATCCATAAATTTGTTGTATCAGAGTTCATTATAACCATAAATTTTTACAAAGATTTGTTAACAATTTTGCTGGGGACCCAGGAAAACTTCGCTATATCCGTGTTCGTACTAAACGAGTTTTACTGTAGTGTAGGGATGTGCGATTTTATCGGTAAACCGGTATATTGCGATTTTTAGTCACGCGATACGTATCGCGATACGGGAACCAAAATACCGGTATTTTTACATTATAAAGAATAATCCGGAAATAAACCATTTAATCGATCAGATTTTAAAATTACTATTACCGGAAGTTTAAATGGCGACTTCTGAAGACATCGAATTTCATCGATAGTCAAATTCACCAGAGGTAAATCAGATGTATGGAAATACTTCCTCGTAAAAAAAGACAAGAAAACAGGAAAAGTTACAGAAAACATAGCCGTTTGTTCAAAGTGTAAAATTGAAGTGAAATGCCCCGGTGGAACTACCAACCTGAACAGTCACATGAGGAGACATCATCCGAATTTGCTCACGGAAGATCCAAATCCTACGAAGACTACTTCAGAAAAATTAGAGGTTAAAACATCTGTTGTAAATACTGTACCTATATCTGGAAACTTGGTTTCTTTGTTTGGTAAAAAGTACCCTTCAAATGCGGAACGTTCAAAGAAAATCACGGACAAAATTGCTAGATTTATTGTCAAAGATCTTCGACCATTTAGCATGGTTGATAGCCCAGAGTTCAGAGATATGATAGCTTGTTTGGATAATCGTTACCAGGTCCCCTCCAGAAAGACATTTAGTGAAGTTGTCATTCCAAAAATGTATTCAGATGTGAAAGTTCAAGTTCTAAGTAGTCTTCTTGAAGCAGAGCAAGTAAGTATTTTCTGTGTAATAAATTTCTAGTATAAAGAAAAACATTATCAAGTTTATAGACTAATATGTGACTATGTGTTAAACCTTTAGAAAAATCTTACTCAGTACATAAATATTTTAATTTAATTAATTCCTTATTACTATTAGGTAGCACTGACCACTGATGGCTGGAGTTCACGAGCTACAGAATCCTACATTACGATTACCTCCACCCATATTGACAAAGATTGGAATCTTTGTAATTTTGTTTTGCAAACCAGGATGATGCCAGAATCTCATACAGGTACATTGGAAATTATGAAAAAAAAAATGATTTGATTATTATTGTTTCAATTTGCTGAAATATGAGGCCAATTGAATGAATTGATTCTAAATTAAATATTAATTAATATACATGTATATATTTATTGGTTTAATTCTTTGAAAAAATAATTTTAAAAAATATTTGTCCTGATTGTAGGAGAAAATGTTGCAGAGGTTTTGAGAAACGCTGTGAAGGAATGGAAATTGCCCACTTCTCATGGATTTCCACCAGTTGTCTCTGACAATGCTGCCAATATGATGAAAGCAGGTGAACTCCTCGGAAACATTCACATTAACTGTTACGCACATACGTTAAATTTAGCTTGTCAAAAATGCCTTGCAGTTAAGAAACTGGAAAATATTCTAGCAAAAATTAGAAGAATTGCAGCTTTTTTTCACAGAAGCAACATTGCAGCTGCTTTGCTCAAGAATACAGCTGAAAGTTTATCACTGCCTCAACACAAATTAATAATGGACGTCCGCACAAGATGGAATAGTGCCTACGATATGATCTCACGATTTCTCGAAATGCAGGTAGCAATATTTGCTACCTTGAAATCAAAGGAGTTAGGAAAAGAAAGAGAAGCAGAATTCAAGTCTTTCCATGATGATGACTTTACTGTGGCAGAGGAAGTGGTCCAGCTGTTAAAGCCGTTTAAGGATATAACAACACTCCTGTGTTCAGAAAAATCTCCCACTTTGTCCATTATCTTGCCACTTCACAATAAACTTCTGGACAAGCTTCGTGAACAAAATGATGATACCCCAACAGTCCGCAGCATGAAAAATATTATGTATAAAGACTTGAAAGAAAGATATAATCGGATTGAACACACTCTACGTATTGTTTCTGCTTTGGATCCGCGGTTCAAGATGCTTCCATTTTTATCAGAAAATGACAGATCAGCGGTTTACTCTGATATTGTGTTAGAAGTCTGTAGAGTACAGAGTATAATCAAAGTGAAAAGAGAGAAAGAAGACAAAGAAGCTGAATTAGATGATGTTGAAGTCCTGAATGAGCCACCCCTCCCCTCACTGTCTTCAGATTCTCCAGATGTTAGCCCTGTCAAAAAAAGAGTCAAAGCAGAAGGTTCTTCCTCTACTTGCGGTGATTCTATGGAATCTGTGCTCCACAGCTTTCTTGGTGATGTATACATTACTGATGTTGAGCCTCCAAAATCACCAAGTACTATTGCTGAGCAGCAGGTGAATGAATACAGAAGTGCCCGAGCAATACCTCTTCAGGAAAATCCTTTTCTTGGTGGAAAGAAAATGAATTTAAATTCCCACTTATTGCTAAACTTGCTAGAGCATACCTTTGCATTCCTGCCACAAGTGTCCCATCGGAAAGAGTTTTTTGACTTTTTTCAACGGCGGGGGCATATTAAATGCCCAGAGGGCACGTGAAAGCCTAAACATGTTGACAATTTACTTTTCTTAAAAAAAAACATGCCCTAAACTGAAAAAAGAAACCAAATGTAATTGTTATTGAGTATTGACTTTAAAGTTATCCTTTTTTTTCTTTTTTTACAAACCAGAAAGGAAATATTGTACCTATTTCTGTTTGACATGTTAATTAGAATTTTATTTTCTTGTTATTTGTTCTTTATTTTTTTTTTTTAAGTTTTGAATGAAAACACATTAAATACATTATAAAATATATGATTTTTCATTTATTCACAACAACAATGAAAAAAAAATAGGAATAATAATCAATAATTCCATATAAATCAAAGAAATAGTGTGCTTATAAATATCACGATATATCGCGATATTTTTATAAAATATCGCGATAATATCGCGATACGAAATTTTTGGCGATACCCATCCCTACTGTAGTGTATTTTTATTTTTTATTAAGAAAGTTAGTTTCGAGTTATTTTACAAGTATTAACATTACATAATTTTGTAATTATTTTTTTTTGAAAATAAAGTGGGTCTATGACAGGTGGCCGAAAGACAACTCACCGAATGACAACTCGCCGACACTTTTTTCACCGACACCATAAAACTCGCCGATACGACAAGTCACAGAAAGAAGGGGCATGGACAGACACATCATCCAGTGAATGTATAAAACATTGAAATTTAACAAATATTTAGAGAAAATTGTGTATGTGAATAAACGTTTTTATTCATTATCAAATATTTTTTCCATTAAATCAATAACTTCACCCAATATTGCCGACCTATGACCTTGCTCAGATTCACGAGAAGCAATCTGTATGCGCTGGACCAACAATGATGGACATATAAAAAAGACATGTTTTTTAATACATCTTTGATTATGTTTATTATATCTGAATACTTAATACGACATCTTTTCATCTAACAATTATTATAAAAACATTGTCCGTGAATTTCTTCGTACTCACTGAAATACTTAATACGACATCTTTTCATCTAACAATTATTATAAAAACATTGTCCGTGAATTTCTTCGTACTCACTGACACTATTGTCGGTGAATTGTCTATTCCACGAATTTCACTTTTGTCAGTGACCTGTCTTTCAGTGAGTTGTCTGGCACCGAAATAAATTTCTTTGTTTTGCTTAAATCAGTATAGAAATAGATTGCCCTCTTTTAACTGACTAGAATATAAGATTGCTCAACTCAAAACTTTTTTAGCAAGTTTTTTTCAATGAGTTCCTGGATACAGATTTTAAAAATTTAGCAGTGATGGTAAAAAAAATTTCCCACCTACTATCCCTTGTTTTATATGTGAGTTGAGATAAGGCAAACAGGCATTAATTTAAGAAGCTTTTTCTTTTTAAAAAAATCTCCTCCTTAGAAACAATATCTTTTCTTATAATATAAATATTAAGCATTGTTTTAAAATTGATGATACTTGAATATATAGATTTTGGGTTTTTTTTTTCTTTATTGAATAAATGGAATTTAATTTATTTATTTATTCCAGAAACACATGATGCCCTCATTCTATATGCTGAGAAAGATGCATCTTTAGCACAACAACTACAACAAGATCTTGAGGAGAATGTGGATCTTCCCAATCTCAATGTCATACTGTATGAAGAATTTGCTCCAGAAGTCCAGTCCCATTTTGGGACGATGACAATTTTGTTTCAAAGATGTAGATATTTACTTGTGCTTGTCACAAAAAACTTCACAGAGGCGAGTTTTAGTAAATTTCAACATGAAATTGCACTAAAAGACTCCATTGAAAACTCAGAAAAGAATGAAAGAGTGATTCCTGTATGGGGAGAGATAGGAGCAAAAGACATTGTGATGGAACTTTCTGTTTTCAAAGGCATTGATTATTCATTATCATTGCAAGGGGATGATAGGTCAAGAGTCTTTTTCCAATTTAAAAAAGCATTTGAGTATGGCAGAAAAAATATCAAAAATTTTCCAAAACAGCAGTAATGTGTACTTCTGTGTTATTCTAGATTTCCATACCAATAACTCTAAATTCCCTCATCAAAATGAGAATTCTATGCAATCTTTATTCATTCATCCTTTTCATAATGCACAATTTGTTGTGTAGTCGTTGGTCACACTGTTGTCTATATGAAGAAGTTGAAATCAGATTTTCTGTGGACGCTGAATCAATTGCTCAGAAATCAAATTGACGCTTTTTTTCTCAAAGAAATCTGTCATATATTCTTTTTTAAATAATATTTTAGTGATGATATTATTAAAGTATAATTAAATACTGTATATACTATACGTAAGTTGGTTTTTTGGGGAGTTAAATTTTAGTCCAAAAGTCTATGTCTAACTTATAGGCGAGTCATAAAAGAATGATATTTTTCTAGATGGTGAAATGTACATGTAGTATTCTTTAAATATTTTCAACAGTTATCAGTGAAAAAAGCCTGGATTTATTATATCATGTTTGTATTCTAAGATTATATATAGATTTAGATATATAACAACAGACAGACAAATCTTGAGACTCCTTGTCTTAAACAGGAAGTAAAAATCAGCTGATCAGGCTGAGAAATGTAAACAAATACTAGCAAAATTCTAACTTAACTTAATCTACATGTCCTACCAGTACTGGTTTTCTATGCGGTCTGCTTGTTTCAGAAACCAGGTTAAAACAATCACAGCATTTATTTAAAATTGTCGTCTGATTCTGGCAAAAAGTTGTACCGACTTATAAGCAGGTCAATGGCAAATCCCTGCAAAATAACCTTAAAAAATACAACCGACTAATAGGCGAGTATATATACAGTATTCACAATCACGATATTTTAATACGCATAATCAACAGCGGGTTTTTATTCAAATGGGGAATTCATTGATGTTTTTGATTATTGTGGATATTAAGCAATCAATTTTTACATTGCATGACTAGTGGGGTATTAAATCATTCTGCATGTTCTTTTCTTTTCATTAATTAATATAAAAATAAATACAATTAAAATTTCTGTTCATTATTTAAATAGCATCAAGTTTTTTGCTGACTTGTTTTACATCATTCAGACACAAGATATGTATTATTGCTTCACAGAAACATTATATATATAGGAATAGTTCATATCCTAAAAGGTTTGCAGTCGTATGAACAGAACTGTATGATTGAAAAAGCTAGGGGCCCATGGGCCACAACGCTCACCTGAGTAACTGGCTCAGGCCCTGCTGTTCTTCACCAGATTTCCCCCTTTTAAAATGTGGCCCCAAACTTCCATAGAGGGGCAATGATTTCAACAATTTAGAATTAACACAACCCCAGGGTGCTTTCACATACATGTAGGTTTCAGGATTTCTGGCATAGTGGTTCTTGTGGATAAGATTTTTAAATTTTTTCCCTGTATGTTTCAATGTAAAATTTTCTTACATTTTTCCTTTTTTTTTTTTTTTTTTTTTTTTTTTGCTTGTCAGGTTTTTTTCTGAAGGTATAATTTTTTTTTTACACTTAGCCCCCCCCTCTTTCAATTTCCTTCCGACGCCAATGCATACATGTAGGTTTCAGGATTTCTGGCATAGTGGTTCTTGTGGATAAGATTTTTAAATATTTTCCCTGTATGTTTTCATGTAAAACTTAGATTCCCTATTGTTGCCCCACCCTACCCCCATGGGCCATGATTTTTAACAGTTTAGAATCTATAGCATACTGCATTATTCCACGGTAGCTAAAATTAATGACCTTGTTTAGCAAACCAAATCAAAAGTTAATTTTCATTGAAATTGCTGCTAGGCAAGTTTTCAAACTTGGTTGTCTATACGGGTTATTTTTTCTTTAGGTCCATCATAACAAGGAGTACACGACGGGTGTAAACGATTGACGAAGGTTTCTTATTCCTTCATGACACCCGATCCAGCTTCTGATATTTTAGAGGCCTATGTTTGCTCTGACTCAAATTCGTATTGCTCCAGTTGAGTTTGATAATACTGTTCGTTTGTAATTATTTTTTGTTCAGTAAAAACGTCCCTTACGTCAAGTTGCGAGAATACTTTTTTCTCACAATGACACGTCACCACTTTGCTTAAATGTTAAATGCAGTAACATTACTTTTAAATAAAATATTTTCTTTTATATGTCATTGTTTTACTGCAAATTAATTTTTATTTGCGAAAACTTTATATTTGCGTAATTACGTAAGATAATGCGCTCACTAAAATTTAACTCTCGACTGTAATAGTACATGTATTCCTTAGGATTATATAGAGCTTTACCACAAGTCGTGAAAATTAAGGAATCAGTGTCTTGCGAAAATAGGATGTCGCGAAAATTTTGAAAAGTATGTACATACTCCCTTTTTGGCTTGAGAAACTAATACTAGTAATAAAAGGTTATTGTCAAATACTGCCAGATTTAGGGGGTGCGGCCCCCTTTTAAATTAAAATTATAAAAATGTAATTACATTTAATAACTTACTTTTTCTGAGTGACTGTGGGCCCTAGTTACCCCGATCCAAAACTGCCCAGGCGCGACCACCCCTCAAAAAAAAAATCCAATCACGCTTTTATTTCAAGATTCTTTGATCTTTCACTTTTCATACCCATCTCACACATCTGCCGTTTACCAGAGGGGGGGGGTACCAACATATATACATTTTTTAACCTGTATATAAAACCAACACATCTTTTTTCAAGTAAAAATGAAGCAAAGCATCAAATCGGCCGCAAACAAAATATAGCATTTAAAAAAGTATTTTTCCAAATTTAAGAGCATCCATGCAAGGAAAGCACAAGATATTCAAAGCTGACATAGTTATCTTTTTTATTTCTGTCTGTTTTCAAACAAAGCAAGATAAATAAATAATCTTTTTAAAAAATATAATAGAAATTTGAGTGCATTTGCTCATTAAATAGATTCATCGATGTAAAAGAGTCAATGATCAATGATAAGAATATTTTGTCATCAAAATGAATATGTAGGCCTCTCAACATGAACCATAATGCTGGAATGCCTGTTCTAAATTATAATCGGGATCGGTTTTCAGATACAAATGAAATGGACTCGGATGGAAGAAACTAAACCGGATTAAATGCGGATTTTCTTTGCTTTGTGATGTCTGAATCTATTGAAAATGATCATGAAGATTTAAAACAGATGAAAGAACAAGTTTTTGGTAGGTGTCTACTAAAAAATCCTTTTTTTTGTCTTAACATGGGTTACTGTTGTATGTTTACATAAACTCGAATTTCCTCTATAATCATGATAATCACCAAAATAGGGGGTGTGTTCATTGTTTGCTTTGTGTAAGGTGATATTCAGTTCAACATGTTCAATCTCATTCATTGACAATTATTGAATCACCAGACATATTGCTATACAACACCATGTCATAGAATAATTATTAATAAATCACTTTTTGACATATCTTGAAAGTTTTGTAATACTATTCGGGTATGTACATGTCAGATGTAGGCCTGTTTTTACCTGATTACATGTATAGAGTTTTTGCTGCCTTATGTTGATCATGAGTACTGTATTGTAAAACAGGGACTTACGAGTTCTAAAAGGAAAAAGAAATCCAAAAGCCACTTAAAGATGTAGAAAAACTCAACCATAGTAATACTGGTATACATTTGTCTCAAAGAATTACAATTAAAATGCAACAAAATCTGGGTTACAAGCAAATCATGTGGAATATAAGTCAATATTTGTATTATGAATTTGTGTATCCAACATAATTTCAGATCTTATTAGAGGTATTATTGACCCAGAGAAGCCAGAGACCCTGGAGGAACTTAATGTTGTCAGTGAGGAAGATGTCCAGGTCACTCGCTTTAATGAGGAGGATTACCTGATAAAAGTGGTGTTTGTACCCACAGTTCCCCACTGCTCACTAGCCTCACTTATTGGTAAAGGATTAAACATACACCAGAAAAATAAATATCATTTTAGCCTAAGTTTGTTCATTTAATTGCAATGTAAATTTTATGTCTTTGAAAATTATGAATTGACACTATTGGGAAGATTAGTGCTTATTGCATTTAAAACTAATGTACCCGGTATTGGCCGGTAACTAGATTTTTATTGATATGTAAAGGAATAGCAGTATTACATACAAGTAGTTTTAAAAGTTTAACAATTCTATTGCATTGTCCAATTTCTTCAAATTAAAAAAAAACTTTCAATATTGCTGAATATTTCAAACTCATGTATGCATACAACTTTGGTATTGTCAAATGAATAGATTTGCAAAATGTTAATGTGCATCAATATTTGATTGCTACGTTAAAGTTATTAAATACTGTAAAAAAAAATGTAAAAAATGTGGAGCCACAAAAATAAAAAATAAAAGTCTTACAATAAAATGAATAAATACGAAGATATGTATATAACGATTTAAACTTAAAATACTTTCTTGTACATTTAGGACTAAGCATTAGGACAAAGTTGGAGACCTCAATGCCGGAGAAATTTAAGGTATATAGTTTAATTATTAATTAAAATCTATGGTGGCATATTTATGCCATCCACATAATTTTTTGTCAATATGGCATATCATATCAAGTCAAGATAAATATCTTGTCAAGTCATGATAACTTTCTGGTTTGTCGTCAAACACTGACTTAATATCTTGTCCAGTCAAGATAAGAAATCACATTTTGTTGAAATAGCTATCTTGACATAACGAGATAACTTTTAGTCACCATACATAATAAATCATCTCTTTTTGTCGAGATAGCTATTGCAAAAATACCAGTAGTTTATCTTAACTGTTCAAGATAAAAGTCTGTGTTTGACGACAAACCTGAAAGTTATCATGACTTGACCAGATATTTATCTTGACTTGACATGATATGCTATGTTGACAAAACATTATGTGGATGGCATAAATATGCCACCATATGTTTCAGTAGACTGCTTTTGATTGTTAAAAAAACAAAAACATGTCTTTATGCGGCTTGCACTCTCCAGCGATATGCAGTTGAACTTCTTTATCACAAACACTGATAAACTAGTATCTGAAATACATGTACTATTGATTTGCAATTGTCAAAAAGATTTGGAAGTCCGAATTCTTTCATTATTTACATCAGTATGTTACACTGAATGTCTCAAATCCTCTTATATATTTCGAAGTTTTTTCTTGGTTCCATGAATTTGAATTGATGATATTTGACTGTAAGTACCACTAATATAATTAAGATACAAGGTACTGCAACTGCACTGTATCTGTATTTTTGTAGTTGGACATATTCATAAAAGATGGAACACATGATACAGCCACTGAAAGTAAGTATGGTTTGATACATCCTACTCAGATTTTACTAACATCATTTAGACTTTAATTATATTTTGTTTTGTTTTTTAGCTTCTTTGTGAAAATGAATAGAGTCTAAATCTTTAAACCAAGTTTATAATATTCAATAGGGTGAAAGACCTGCCAGAATATTTTTTTATTCAAATGTTTATGTAATGCTCATTTATTTTTGAAAATCAATTGAATAACAGACCCCTGATATTCCCTAAAGCTCTACTGTTCTTCTTCTTCTAGTTAATAAACAGATAAATGATAAAGAGAGGATAGCAGCTGCTATGGAAAATCCCAACTTACAACGTATTATCAACCAGTGTCTGGAAAATTCCTGATATTTAATGTATCTAGTATAATAATTATTACAAATTAATTTATACGCCTCTGAATTTTTAATTGACTTGTTCATATTTTGTAAGTACCGGTATGTAATAATGTTTAATAATTAAAATTTATACCCTCAACTTTCATTATAGTATGTGTACAAGACGATTATTGAGATATCTTGAGTTGTCCTTCTTGATTTAGCATTAGCATTTGTGCGTCTTAATTGGTGTATAGATTAATTCATGATAATATTGTGATGAAACAATTAAGACACTTCAAAAGTAGGAAGCTGATTGAAGATAAGTAGATAGATATTCAGGACAACTGACCGAGACTGAAGATTGCAAAGTAGATTGAAGTGGCTTATTTGAATTTTATGCTTTTAAGAACATGATGGAGGCACGGCACTATATTTATGTCTTTCTAACTTCCTGTAAATACACGTCTAGATCTCAGTCACAGCATTTGTATACAAGTGCAAATGTCTGTGTAATAAACTGACTCTGTCACAGGTGAAGTGTCTCCATCACAAACATTTGCAAATCTTTCAGCAAATTATAAGGATTAATTTTTAGATTAATGAATTCCAAGCCCTGCAATAGAAATCTTTTTCATACATAAGTCAAATGTATATGTATGTATAACCTTTTTTTTCAATATGCATTTCATGTAGTGCAATTTTATAATACACTGTACAATTTTTTGTTCATTGTACGTTCATTATAAACAGTGTATTAGAATGTTTGAGATACCTTTTTTTTTTCTTTGATAATCCATTCCAATTCACATCTGGTTAATGATAAAATAATGCAAATTCAAACATTTTTTTTTTTAATCTTTAGTTTCCGCACATTCAATAGGACATGGCCAAACAATCTAATTTTTTACAAATATGACTTACATTCATAAATCATTATTTGTTTTTTTTTTTGGCTTTCATCTTTAATTTCAGACATTTGTATACAATATAACAGTACTAAGTCAAAAACTATTATACATATTTTGCTGTGATTTATCATGAAAGACTAGAAAAATCATTTCTCTTACATACACTTGAATGTATACTGTATGTATGAGTCATTATGAAATCTCATCAGAGTGATTTTTGAATTCCACAGTGAACTTTCAGAGTGACACTTCCTTCATAAATCACTATCATTCATTAATGATAGGCCATGAAACGAAGTGGCACATGTATATGGCACATGTATATTTGTCAAATTTATAGTATTTTTATACAGTCTTTCTGATTTGTTTTAAATCCTTTGCACTTCAATTTGATTTATACAGAGAACATATATGCAGTTAAGTTTCTTAGTTTATATGTAAATATTGTTCTTAAGATTTGAATAAAAAATTACTGGACCAATTATTTTTGAACATGTTTAACGAAATTGCGTAAATGCAGAGATGAGAACATTTATGGGCTGGTACAACCCACTATCCAATCCTTTCATAATAGTACAAATTTGTTTTTAAATTCCGTAAACCACAAGTGTAAAATACCATTTGAAACAAAGTAATTATAATATATCCCCAGATTTGATGAGTGAATATTTCTCATTGAAAAATTTTTTTTTTGCATCTTACATATTTTACATGGGATCACAGGGCTTCCTGTATGCCTCTTAACTCTCACTCTGGACTTGGCATTGGTTCTAAAGTGGGAGTCAATACACACATATACACACCCAATACATACATGTGTACATGTATCAACCACCCCCAAAAAAGTGAAGTAAAAATATAGATGAGGAAGGATACAAGACGGAGTAGAAAGGGATGTTTCTTCACTTTCTTGGGGATGCTGTACATGTATTATCTGTTAGTGTGATATAGATTGCAGTTAAGTTGATGAACTTTATATAGTCCTAATATGTATGTACTGGGTGTTCACAGTGTTAACGATATGATTGCTAACATTGTCTTGCAATAAAGGATTTGTAATTAATCTAAGACCTTGCATATTAACATGGAGAGTGAAATGATGAAACATATGGAGATGACAAACAGTATTCAAGACCGAAAATCCATAAAACAGTACAAAATAGGAGTACATGTAAAGGAAACACTGGCTTCCAAAACATCAGAGGTGGGATCATGTTCTATGGAGGAGTGAGCATCCTCTGCCGACCGATCGCACCCGCCGTGTGCTCCTTGTCATGATCGGGAAATGACGGAAAAATCCGTCATCAATTCAGTGTATAATTAATAGACTAACAATAAGTATGAAAAGCCTCAGTCAGCATTTGACTCAGTGATAAATTGTATTTGCTGACAAGGTCGTTGTTTTGAGCATAGAACTAAAAAGGATGACTTTAAACGAGACTGCTGATATTCTTGTTTCATCAACTTGTTTGCCAATAATTTATCTCATTTTAAGAAATTGTTCATCAATATAGAGCATGATCTTGCGTTAATCGAATCAACTGAGATATAACTCCGCATGCAAGTGATGAAGGTATATTGCTGCGTAAGCAAGGGAAGTTGACGATTGAAAAGTTTAAGTCATCAGGCTTATCATAGAGCTTGGTTGTAAGATTACCATTTACGTCTTTTACAAGTAAAATATTCAATTATGAAATAGATGTGTCAGACTCTGTGGTATCTCTTGTCTCAAGCATACCAAGATATATCGTATCGATATAAGAATGGAAATTACCATTGTTAATTAAAATGACAATACGTCGTCGATATATCTTAATGTCGAGTGGAAGGCCACAGCAAGTGTTTTTTCTTATCACTTATAAGATTTTGGACAAATTCTGCTTCATATGAATACAAAAATAGATCTGCTAATAACAGGGCGCAATTGGTATCAATGGGAATTCCAATTGAATGTTGGAAGACCTGGTCTCCAAAAACAACATACACATTGTCAATCAGATACTCAAGCATCTTTAAGATATCAACTTCAGAGTACTTGTTTGCACGCTCAGAATGTTCTTTAACAAAATAATTTTTCAAATGATCAATGACAAGGTAAGTAAATTTACGGGTTCCATTTTTATTGAAAAAGCAGCTGTCAATGATATCAAAAAACCTAGACATTAATTTATCGTGTGGAATGGTTGTGTATAAAGTTTAAAAGTCGTAAGATTTTAAGCTGTTGATTTTGGTAAAATCTCGTGATTTCAAATTGTCCAAAAGTTCCTTGGAATTTTTAAGTATCCACATCTGATTTACACCACGTCTTGAAAATATTGTTGCACAGTATTCTTGAAGTTTCTCCTTCACAACTGTTAATATCTCAGTGAGGAGTAAAGAAAGAGGCTTGGTTGAACATTTATTGGAATCCGCTATGTATCTTTGTAAAGATTCTTATGAAGTTTCAGAATTCAATATAGATATGGTAGTTCAAATTCATTTTGGTTCTTTGGGATATTAAAAATATTAAAATTTATGATTTTGAAGAATTCTTCCTTAGAAAGGGAACTATGAGTGTAAGTTGGATTACCCCTTGAAGAATTTAAATCCCAAGTTCCTCTACAATACAATTTTTATAGTGAGCCTTACAAACGAATTATGAAAATTCATCATATATGTCAGTAATGATAATTCTTAGAGGAAAATCTATTGTACTGCGTTTCTTGCTATATTTAATATGAAGTATACTGAAACGCAACATCCTAGTTTAGGGGGAAATAATTATAATACATAATAAAGAATTTTGTATCTTAAAAGTATGAATACCAGGTATATCTTTAATTTTGTAAATACATGTGTACGTGTATGTATGTATATAAATGAATTTATGTGATCTAAATGCGTACAAATTGCGTATTTTTATTAATCACTATTTTGTGTGTGTGATTTCATGGGTCCTTAAGGAATTTTCAGGGTTTTTATTTAAGCGCCCTCTAGTTACGGCCTAGCCGTATCCTTCTGAAAATAACTTATGGCTCCGAAAATGTGGTTTACAAATTTTACCCACCTCCACCCCCTCAATCCTCCATACCTATTGTTATTGTATAAAATACATGTACTAGTTTTAATTCTTTTGTATAAGGTGTGGGATATTTTTTGGGCCCCACCTTCTGCTACATTCTGAAATTGTAAAATATGTAATCTCATTTGGCATTTGTAATAAATGCTTCAGGTTCATATGAACCGAATTGTTCATCAGTTTCAGTATTTAAGAGCACATAAGTGTAATTTAAGGGTTGAACGATTTTCATACTATGGCCCTTACCGAAAGTTAAGTTTGAGTTTGCTTAACAGAAATAAAAACAAGCTAATTCAGAGAATTGGGAGGAATGTGTCCCCCGCTTAAGGAAAAAGTAAAACATGCTCAGTTCGGGGGGGGGGGGGGGGGAGTCGGACCCCCCCCCCTCACTGAATTTGTAGAATTATTAAATATATACATGCATGTATACTGAAGCAAATAAAATATACCATTATGGATATAAAGATTTAATTGCTTATTCTTTATTATGTGTATAGAAGATTCTTTTTATATGGAATATTTATCACACTGTAATGATGATTTTATGAGTTTGTACAAGCCAGACCTCGTAAATTTTTCATTTCGCGTGCTGAATACTATTATTTAGTAAAAAAAAAAGTGGTCCATCCGTGACTTGAACTCGGGACCTCTCACACGGGAAGCGAGAAACATACCACTAGACCACGGAATCGCTTTACATTGAGTCAAGTATATGCAGAAGTGAAGTCACATACATGTATATGTTCGGTATTGTCAAAATTTTACACAATCCATGGTGTTTGATTAATTTAGCCTTTATTAATCAGTTCTGATAGATGTAATAAGAACATAAAGTCCGCCGAGAACCTGTTTTATACGCAATAACTCTCCTCATGCCCCTGTGCTAAAAATAGCGACATGTAATACTACAAATACTAATAAAACAAACGGGGTGGGGCACTTTGAGAGGGGTGAGAGAGGTCCTAGGGAGTTTTGGTATAAAATTACATTGCATAAGCTCAAAATCTTCTTGAAATATCGCCCGGAAATGATAGTGTTACACACAGACAGAATGTATAAATTTACGACCTTGAACTTTGACCTTTTGACCTCAAAATCAATAGGGGTCTTCATTAGACCACAGGGAGTTATTGTGTAAAATTTCATTGCAATAACTCAAATGGTTCTAGAGATATCGTGTGGAAACAAAAGTGTTATAACGGACAGAATTTGCTTATTTATGACCTTGACCTTTGACCTTTTGACCTCAAAATCAATAGGGTTCTTCTTTAGTCCATAGGAAGTTACTATGCTAAATTTCATTGCAAAAGCTCAAAGGGTTCTTGAGATATCGTGTGGTCTACAGACAGACCGAAAGACGGACAGACAAATCCAAATTAATATCCCCGACTTTTCACGCGGGGGACAAAAAATTGCATGTTTAACAAAACATTTGGCAATATTATGGAGTTGTAAGGGTTTGTAACCGTTCATCATTAGTAATGCAGCAATATTCCGAAAAATAAATTCTCCTTTCTTTTCCTGGTACTTTCCAAACTTAAAAGATAATCATTTAACATGTTTATCAAATTTCTGATGTTTTGAAAAGTGAGTTTAACCATACTGTATTCATTTTGAAAATCATCAGATAAAAAAATCAAATATTTGAAGATTACTGCTTCTTGCGTTTCTTTTGCGTTTCAATAGACTTCAAATTATAATATCAGCCTTTGTCAATCTTTTTTATATGTACATATATTAGCTACACGTACAATGTATACCTCTGTAATGAATATATTTTATTTGAGCACTTGTATTGTTGCTACATGTATGTGTTTTCGTCCATCGTCATCTGTCATAAACTTATAAGTCGTAAACTTTTAAACGTTTTCATTTTCTTTTCTGGAAAAGCTGAACCAACTTCAAGCAGATTTTATATATAACAATCTTCTGTATAATTTTTTGCAAATAAAACATCACATCAGTAACAAGCTAATTCAGAGAATTTGTGTCCCCCGCTTAGGGAAAAAGTAAACAATGCGCAGTTCGGGGGTCGAGGGTGGGGGGTGGGTTCGGCTCCCCTTGACTGAATTTGTAGAATTATTAAATGTATACTGAAGCAAATGAAATATGTCAATATGGATATAAAGGTTTGATTCATTATTCTTTATTATGTGTGTAGAAGATTCTTTTGATATGGAATATTTATCACACTGTAATGATGATTTTATGAGTTTGTACAAGCCAGACCTCATAAATTTTTCATTTCACATGCTGATACTATTATTTACGGAAAAAAAAAACTTTGGATTTTCCGGGAATGTGAAGCGAGAGACATATCTTCTAATAGATGTAAAATATATAATCCGCCGAGAACCTGTTTTATACGTAACAACTCTCGTTCAAGCCCCTGTGCTAATGTAATACAATCAATAAATAAAACAAACGGGGCGGGACACTCATTGCAAAAGCTCAAAATCCTCTTGAAATATCGCCCGAAAATGATAGTGTTGTACAAAAACAGAATGTATACATTTACGACCTTGAACTTTGACCTTTTTACCTCAAAATCAATAGGGGTCTTCCTTAAGCCACAGGGAGTTGTTTTATAAAATTTCATTGCAAAAGCTCAAAGGGTTCTTGAGATATCGCGCGGAAACGAAAGTGTTATAACAGACAGAATTTGCGAATTTATTACCTTGACCTTTGACCTTTTGACCTCAAAATCAATAGGGGTCTTCCTTAGTCCATAGGGAGTTGCTATGCAAAATTTCATTGCAAAAGCTCAAAGGGTTCGGATATCGTGTGGAAACGAAAGCGTTACAGACAGACAGAAAGACGGACGGACAGACCCAAATTAATATCCCCCACTTTTCAAGCGAGGGACAAAAAGAGTTTCATTTTATATACAATAAAAAGTTAAGAGTATCAAAGATAGTAATTAGTTAAGCCAAAAAATATTGTTTTATTGGATCGTTTCTTGGACGTTCGTATAATTATATTATATAAGATATCGTATATCTTCA